TTTTCTTTTTTTTTTTCTTTCCTTGCAAAAATAATATTCAATATAAAAACAAAAAAGAGCTTGCAAAAAGTAAGTTTCGTAATTAATCGAAAAGATACAAAAGAAAAGATAAAGATAGATAGATAGAGAGAGAGAGAGAAAGAGAGAGAGAAAAAAGAAATAAAATGAAAACCGTCGTGCGTTGTGGTCGTGTGATCGATGTATTTTTTTTTTTTTTTCTTTGGGAAAAAAATAATAATAAAAATTAGAATATGCGAAAATCTAATAATAATAATAATATATCGTTGAGATAAAACAAAAGAAAAAAATAATGAAATAAAACATCAAGCATCGTTGTGTAATAATACAAGACTTTACTACTACTACTACTACTACACATACACATTCGATATTTTATTCATTGTAAAATTATATCAACGACAGTGTATTTCAAAATGGCGGCGCGTCGTTAAAAGGAAAGAGAGAGAGAGAGAGAGAGAGAAAGAAAAAGAAAAGAAAAGAATGAAATTAAAATTAAAATTAAAATTAAAATTAAAATTAAAATTAAAATAAAAGTACACACACACGAATATATAAGAATTTAAATATAATAATGAATAATAATCATAAAAAGAAATATTTCGTTCGTTTTAGCGAATAAACGCCGCATAACAACATTTTATCAAGTATAAGTAAAAAATAAATACACATTAAAATTAAAAAAAATAATAATAATAATGATAAAAAAAAAAAAAAAATAAGCATTATTTGCAGCGTGCACGTAAAACGATCACTTTTGTATTATATGTATAGCGTACGATTTAGGAGAGAAAGAGAGAGAGCGAGAGCGAGAGAGAGAGAGAGAAAGATTGTGAAAACGATAGTGAGAAAGAGAGAGAGAGATTGTGAGAGCGATAGTTAGAGAGAGAGAGAGAGAGAGAGAGAGAGAGGAAAGATGTTTTTATATCAACGAAGAATCAAAGATTGTTCCCCGATTAATCTCGGTGTGTAATTTAAAGCCAATATTCAATATTAATTGTATGAATGGGCGTTATAAGCGAATAAGAAAGCGTATAAGAAAGAAAAAAAAAAAAAGAGAAAAAAAAAAAGAAAAGAAAAGAAAAATAATTAAGCAATAGCAAAATATCTTCATCTTCGTTTGTAATTTTGCAATATCGTTCGTTCATTCGATTTTATTCATTCATTATTATTATTAATTATTATTATTATATATATTATTGTTATAATCGTTCATTTTGAATTTTCGTAGGAGCAAAAAAGAACAAGGAAAAATGGAAATGAAAGAAAAAACAAAAATGATAACGACACACTTATTGTAAATCCTTGTTCCGTATACAAAAAAAACACATGTGTCACATACACACTTATTAGATTTTTGCTTAAATACTATCGATGTAGTGGTGTGTTTAGGATGAAGATAATCCTATAAAAATAAATATATTAGTATACCTTTATTTATTTAACATATTTCATGAGTTTAAATACGAAATCTCTTTCATACATCTATTTAATATAATTTCCAATATTAAAGACAATTTCGATTTGATATTTAATTAAATGCCAAATTTTCAATGAAAAGTTATCATACGACCAGGGAGGGAGGGAGGGAGGGAGGGAGAACATTAAAACACAAATGTATTTTCATTTAAACAATCTTAAATATTAGTATGATACGTTAAAGTATTTGATATACCTTTAAATGATTGTGTTTATTAATCGAAAAAAAATGTATATTGTAATTTGAAATCTACCTTTAGACTGATTACATTTATCCTCTATGAAAATGATTTAACATTTTTTTTATCTATTATTATTATTTTTACGGATAAAATAATCTTAAACACAATAATTAATAAAAGAAATTTGATTGATTTTCGTAAATAACAATGATAGACAAGTTTAGATTTGGGGATGAGAACGATGAGCACTGAATTGTTATTATTATTATTATATACCATGCTTTTAAACTGTTATACAATATACATTTTCCTCGATTAATTAATCATTTAATTTCAGTATGAATTTTTAATTTACAGTTGACAATTTTCATCGAATAAAATATCACAAATCGAAATTGTTTAATATTTGAAGTATGTTAATAGATATGAAAGCTTTCCACAGTTAAACTCATGAAATATATAATAAAGGTATACTAATTGATTTATTTCTATAGATTATTTTCATTCTAAACACATTATACCAATAGTTATCGAAGAACAACAACAAAATCTAATAAGCATAAACTGTTATACAAATTTGAAATGACACTCATTTTATATATTTGGTTTTTCGTTTGATTTTTGTATACGAAGGAACACGTTCATTATTATCCAAAATCCAACGTTTCATTTCTTTCATTTTTGTCGTATTTTTATCGCACATAAATAAACACTTTTACACAACATACACACGTACCACACACACACACACACACACACACGCGTACGCACGCATACACGTATTTTTCTATATTCTCTATACGCGCGATCATTATAAAAATATGAAATATTATACATACAACAAGAAACAAAGAGAAGGGGGAAAGAAATATTACAAACAAACAAAAAAGAAAAGTAAAAAAACAAATGGAATAAAGGATACGTAGGATTAGCCATTTTAAAAACCATCGTTAGGCTATAATGAATGACGATGATGGTGATGATGATGATGATCATGATGATGAAAAAAATGGAAGCAAAAGAACAAAATATAACAAAACGAAAACAAAAAAAAAAAAAAAAAAAGAGAGAGACAGAGAGAGGAAAGAAAGAAAAAAGATTTATGTTTTTAAAATGCATCAGATATTATGTCCGTGTAAGGTCGTAAAGATAAGGAAAAAATAAAATAAAATAAAATAANGAGAGAAGTAAGAAAGAAAAAAGATTTATGTTTTTAAAATGCATCAGATATTATGTCCGTGTAAGGTCGTAAAGATAAGGAAAAAATAAAATAAAATAAAATAAAATATAAAAATAAAACGTACGTACAATTTAAATGTACGTGAAAGTATACGTATGCGAAGAGGAAAGTTTAAATATTCAAAAGAAAGAAAGAAAGAAAGAAAGGAAGGGAAAATAAAAAAAAATTCAAAAAAAAGAAAAAAAAATAAATAAATAAGAAGAAAAGAAAATGAACTCTCACGAAAATAAACGTAGGAATTTTCTTCGACTCTCGAGAATCTTTCATAATCAGCATTAATTAATTGATGGCCTATTGAAATTCTTCAAACGCAAATTTTAACGAATATGAACACGAATCACAACGAATTGTCGAGCCAAAAAAAGAGAGAAATGTCGAAGGATCGCACAACGGGCAAAATAAAAATTTTGACGATATATAGATTTAAAAAAAAAAAGGAAGAAGAATAAAAAAAAAAAAGAAATAAATAAAAATAAAAAAATAAACAAAAAGAAATAATAGAATGGAAAGATGGAGAAAATATCGTATATGTATGCATGTATGTATGGTTTGTTGTATATACTTACATATATATACGTATAATGCGTGAATATTCATCGAGGAAGATTCCATCGTGAAGCGGGGAATGTGTATAAATAATGGTTTTAACGAATATACAATATATTTCGCGTTTTATCGCATTTTTATCGAAACTAAGAAAATGCGAAGACAGTCTTCTCCTTTTCGTATTGATACACACGTTTTTCATTCGTTATTTCGTTTATACTGTAATTTTGTTCATAATATGCGATTTGTGTGAAAAACAAAAAAAAAAAAAAAAAAAAAAAAAGTCGAACGTTTACATCTTCTTCTTCTTCTTCTTCTTCTGCTTCTACTTCTTCTTCTTCTTCTTCTTCTTCTTCTTCGATCAGTGGAAATCATGAAGATCCAGTTTCGTTGTATAAAAAAATGGTACACAAACACACACACACATGTGTACTTAACACGCTTATTGGAAAACGCGTATGTATTTAAAGACGTCTTCGCTCAAAATCGATGAATGTTTTACTTGTACTAAAAATGTTCCCTTTTAATCCTATTAAGACTTACAAAAATATTATATATAAGTATTATACTTTACTTGTATATATACATATGTGATAAAAAATATATATATATATACACCTGGTTTTTCATGTCAAACTTATATTTGTTACCTTAATTCCGCATAGCGTTAGATTTTTTAAAAAAATGAGGTAATGATACATATATTTCACATTATAACTTATTTTCATCAATGACAATCGATCGAGTCGAGTTAAACGAATTTATTTATCGTTTAGTCTCGACTACAAGTATTACAATATTTTTTTAAATATAAATCCGATTAACTTATCTATAATTTCAGAAAAAGTTTTAAATATTAACGAAAAATAAATTGATTCTATTAAAAAACAAAAATTTTTATATTTCTCGATTGATCTATTCAAATTTTGGGATAATATAGTAATAAAGAAAGTGGACCTATCACGATGATCGTATTATCGTATCGCATTTGTCGAGCAATATAAGCTGTCTTTATTATTTTGTAATTTGCAAGTAAATCGCAAAGATTTTTCAAAAATTTTTCGCTATAAATAAATCGCAGATATATTAATATAAAACCACGTGAAAATATATATTTATAAATAAATTTTCAATCAAGTACATGTACAATTTTAAACTTACACACGATTCTCTTTTTGATATATCATATATTAAAAAATAAAGTTGATGTAATAAAATTTAACACAATCAAAAGAATTAATTTATTAAATGTTTGTTTCTTTTTTTTCTTTTTTTTTTTCAGTTTCTACCATAACACACGTTTCTATTTTTATTAATTTTATTGTTTTGAATATAATGAATCTCTGTAATGGATAATGAGTCTTGAAAGTTTACTCAAACGGAATATATAATGTTTGATTTATAATAATTATATCAAACAAAATTAAATGTGAGAAAATATTCATTTATAAAAAAGTATTTCTAAAATACTTCTATATATATATATATATAAATATGTGTGTGTATTTTTCTCTCTCTAATATTTATTTTTCATTCTCATATATCATATTATATATACCTACAACCTTATAGGATATATTCTCATTCCGGAGATAAAAATATTATAAATAAGAAATATTAGTTCAATTTAGTTTTGATATAAAAATGTAAGGATATATAAAACAGAGACAGAATATAAAAATATACGATCAAGTAATGTTAGACTGAACAATATTTAATTCGGAATCGACACTAACACTAGGTAAAGAACTATCGGTCCAATCCGGATGAGGATAATGTCGTGGTGGACTCGGTACACTAACAGAAATTCTACTCTTATGTCGAACTTCATTGAATATAGTTTCAAATTGTTTATTTATATTGGAATTTAATATATCACCCGATACGTTAGTTTCTATAAATTTAGAACTTTCTTCTATACTTTCATTGTCATGATTTTTTTTCTTATTATCGAATTTTAATGTCTTTCGAGTTTTGGATAAATGTTTTTTATACGATTCATTTTCATTGTCTTTTTCATTGTCTTTTTCATTAATACACTGAACACTAGATTTTGTAGAATCAGCATCAACAAATTGTTGAATACGATCAGATAATTTAGATTTGGACGGAAACAGATAATCTTTATCCTTATTGATACCACTTTCATCTAAACATTCTTGATCTCTATAAGATGGAAATAAAATTGATTCCGCAGGAGGCAAACTAATAAATTCTAATTGCGTAATCTCTTCCATTGTAGTTTTTGCTGTATCTTTTTCTTTTATTCTGTAGGATGGAGTCAATAGTTTATCCTTTTTAGATGTTGCTTTTTTTAAGTTCTTATTATCTTCTATTGTAGATATAGACATATCCACTAAATTATGCCAGGATGTAGGAATATTAGATCGATCGGAAGATGATGCAGAAGGTGAAGAGCAAGCAAGTCCACATTGTATTCCTGAATTTTGTAAGTTAGAATTTACTTCTCTGATACCAGCTTCTCTAAAAACATCTATCAAATGTCCTATTTCATTTTGGAATTCTCTAAAAACAACAAATTAGATATTATTTACATTCATTTTCGAATTACATATTAATTATAATATAATAAGTTTAATTTCTTCAAGTAGAATAGTATTTATAAGCTATAATACTAACTTCATGACATCACAATGATATTCGTTAAATTGTGAGTCTTTATGAGAGGACATAACTAACAATTTGTCATTTTCAAGCATTAGATATTGATTTTCTAAACGATTTTGTCGTATAAGTTCTGTTTGTTTAGTCAAATCTATTCTTAATTCAGTTAATTCTTTTTCTAACGGTTCCATTTTTTTAATTTTCTCTTGTAATTCAGATATTAATTCATCTTTACTTTCTATTGTCTTCAATGCTTCGTTTACTTGTTCTTTTAACTTTGATATAGTAGATTCTGAGTCTGATTGTTTGCGCCGAGCTTCTTCTAGAAGCTTAGAATATTTCTCAACATTCCTGAAGTAATATAAAATGAAATGTTTAATAATTTTGGTCGTAATAGAGAGAAGGAAGAAGAGCGGTGGAATAAAAGATGGGAGAAGGTAGAGAAAATTGTTTATAGTTATTCAATGAAAATAATATACCGTTTTAAAGAATCTCGTTCTTCGCGTAAGGATCCACATATGGTATTCACTTGTTTACTCATTTTCTCTATTTTAACTGTCCTTTCATTGAGTCTTGTGCGAGGAGTTAATACATCTAAATCCTATTACAGAAATTTATCCATCAATTTGCATGTTGCACACAATCATTATGCTATATGATGCATGATACCTACATTGTTCAAAGCATCGATATCAAAGAATGTTAAAAGGGTAACATTTGTATTTTCACTAACGTACCGTTGTTGTTGACTTTTTAAGTTCTACTGGTATTCGAATTAACGTTTGTTCCATTTCCGTGAGAATTTCGCTGGATATCTCATCTTTTATTAAATACTCTAATTCTCTCATTAAAAATCCTAATGTTCGAACAGGATTAAAACTATTATATTTATCATACGAAGAATCAAATATTCCACCACATTGAACTTCTCTGTCAATAACGAGAACCGATTTAGTACATTTTATACATTTTGTAGACACGCCTGATGAAAATCCCGTTTGCTGAGATTGTTTCACATGTTCCTTTGATATTTTTTGCAAAGGAACTTGTTTAACTGGTACTTCATCCAACTGTTTATTAGCACTCTATAACGATAGAATTTGTTGGTCATTAAATTGTAATAATTAGATGACAAAATTTGATACCAACGTTTGCAATATTTTCATTATTTTCTTGTTATTTCTTTACTTACATTACTTCTACATTTTATTTTTTGTTGAGGAGTCGAAAGTTTTTTATTGTCTTTAGGTTCAGAAGAAGATATTTTCTTTGTATGTTGATTTTTTAAAGATAAATTTTGCAAATTTTTCTTTAAATAAGGTCGAGTATGTTCCTGTAAATCTTGCAACCAATTTTGAGGATGCTCTCCATTAGATCTTTGTCCTTCTTTGGTATTCTGTTCACGGTTAGATGTACTACTGACCATTGCTTGAGCTGGTTTATGTCTTTTTTCTTTTACTTTTACTTCTATTATTGTTTTATAATTATCTAATATAAATTTGCTTGGAAATTCATTTTGAAATATACGCTATGAAACAAAGATTCATATTTTGTTAAATTAAATCATCTTTACATTCAAATAAAAGTCTGTAATACCTGGTTATCATGTATTAACGAAGGGTTCTGGATGTTATCCACAGAATATCCATTACTACATTGATCTAAAGTCTTACATGTCTCTTCAATTTTATTACTCATTATACTAAAAAATAAACAACAACCCATTATAATGAAACAAAAGTATTTCTATGTGATAAAAATAAAAAATATCATTTATTGTTCAACCGTGATACGAAAGTACGTTATTTAAAAAATGGTATTATAAGCTTATTATTAAAGAAATTCATTTTAAATATGGAATGTTAGGCATTAAGTGTTTTAATATTAAAATTTTTTAATTTTAAAATATTCTAAAAGTGGAGTTAATCGCGTTGACTTGCAAATGGCTTTAAAATCACTGCAATACTTAACTGAAAAATATGAACTTTTAATTCATTATTGTCATATTATGTTATTGTAGGGTATAATCACATATATTATTTTTATATCAAAAGCTTCTTGTAATAATTTCAAATATATATACACATATTTCTTAATTAATATAAAAGATCATAATCTCGAAGTTATTTGTGAAAAACATTTACACACACATATTTCATTATAAATATTAATTTATTTAATTTAAACACGTACCGCACAGTAAGTATATTCTGTTAGTATATTATTATAATATTTATGTACATAATTCTTCAAAAGTCGCCATATATGCGAAAATTCGATTTTTCATAAAATTGAGATTCGTAGAAAATTGAAATAGAATTCAACACAAATGCACTTATGTTTATTTAATTAAATTTCTTCGATTTGACATAATATCTTATTTATATTTTTATTATCACAGTTATGTGACCGTACACTTTCATATAAATTTCCTATCTCTATTATTAAACTACCAACATAAAAATAACTAAGAATAACCTAGTAATATTTATTAAACAGATTTATATCGCGTAGAATTTTAAAACGTCAAATCTTATGCATATGTCATTTATATATAATATAATAAATTTTCTCTATACAAATTTTTATTGATACGTAACATCTTAACTCTCTGTATGCGACATTTGATGGGACTACTTTCATGAATGCGACGGAAATATGAAACAGGAAGTACGGAAAAGAGCGCGTGTTTTTCAATTTACTATTTAATATTTCAATTTAGAATTTACTTATATTTTCTTTTTTCTTTTATAAATTACAAAAATTAAAACAATTATGTTAAAAATTTGTATTATTAATATAGTGGACCATAGATCGAAAAAACGCTTTAAAATTTTAAGCAATATATATTATACAATATCATAATATTTACAGAAATATTATTTACACTGTATGTAGGTATGACTCTCTAAATTATATAAGTAATGTTTCGAGTAAATCGAAATATATATATATATATACAATAATTATGAATTATTTTTTAGAAAATTATAGATTGCTGAAGTCATAAAAGTAAATAAACACAGAGAAATACGATACAATAATTAATGAAAATAAAGCTATCCGAGAACTTAATGTTATTGATTGTTGTAAATCGTCGTTGTCATCGTATATTTGTCAATCACAAATCAGAATTCATACAGTGTAAATAATATTTCTGTAAGTATAATATAAAATATATTTATTATTATTAATAAAGTATTTCATGGTAAAAGTGTTTATATACAAAATGATAATATAATAATATCATAAATAAAAAGATATAATATTTTAATAGTGTATCATATGATGACCAGTGTTAATCTGTTTTTAAAATTTTATGCAACTCATTTCTATGTTCACCCAAAATTTCATATAATTTTTCAAAAAATTCTTTCCCATTTTGTTCAATGTACAATTTCCTTCTCTTTACAGCATCTAATTTTTCTTTTAACTCTTCTAATTTGCTCATAATATCTTCTAAATTAGGAATAGACTCTTGATAACTTTGTATTTCGTTTTGTAATATCTGATTTTGTTCTCGTAATGTGTTTTCCTCAATATTCCAATTATTAATTTGAGCTTTTTTATCTTTAAACTTATTGTGTAAAATTACATTATTTTCCTCTGAAGTTTTCATTTGTCTCTGTAAAAATTCTAATTTATTTGTGTAAGCTTCTATATAAGATTCCCATTTAGTTACATTTTTAATCAATTTATCTTTTAATTCACTTGTGAAATTATCTATACTGTTTAATTTATCTATAATATACGGATCTAGCATATCTTTTTCTGGCATTTTAAGTTCTTCGACATCTATATTATTATCACTACCAAAATGCTTAAATATTTCTTGGTTGTAAATTAAAACTTTTTTGTATAAATTGCTATTTAGAGATGCTATTTTAATATCCAATTTATATATATCCTTTTGCATATCTTTCAAATGTTCATCAAATTGTTGTATAAAAGTTTGAAGTCCCAAACATTTATTAACTATGTCCTCTTTTTCTCTTCTGGACATGGGTTGTTCTTTTACTGCCAAAAGTAATTCTTTATATTGTTTGTTTTGTATTTGAATTTTTTCATACAAATATTTATTTTTAATCTGAATTTGCTCTGTTTCTGTTTTAAGATTATTTTTGTACTCTTCTAGAGCTTTTATATCATTAGTCTGTTTAGCTGCATCTTCTTGAAGAGACATCAAAATATCTTTTAAATTTTGAACTTCTGCATCAACATCTTGTAATTTTCGTTCAGACTCTTGTAAGATAAGTTCTTTTTTATCTAGAGAAGCACATGCTTCAACTAAGTCATTGTCGCTAACTCCATACTGTTTTTCAATTTCTTGCAAATATTCATTGATAAGAGCTGCTTCTTCATCAAGTTTTTCATCATTCCAAGCACCATACATGTTTAGCATAAAAAAGAAGTAAGTTTTATTATCTTTCATTTGTTGCTCTGTACTTATGAATGGCAAATTTTCTAATTGAAAACTATTATATGCCAAATCTTTAACCTGACAAACTTCAACCAACCAATATAACCAGCCCAAAACATAAGGCCAAGTATGAGGAGTATTTGCTGTTTTTAACAATGATTTTGAAATCATTCCAGGATAATGTAATTTTTTAGCAATTTTGGGTAATTGTTCTATATAATTGGCAAGAGTTAAAGTTTGTTTAGAATCTATAAGTTTTACCAATAAATCAGATACTTCGACAAACATTTTCAGTGTAATAGGTTTCAAACTGCCATTACTGTTTAACATAGAAGAACATTGAATTTGGTGAATATAATTATCTATCTTATTGAGCATTTGAACTTGATAATTTTTATCTAGCAAAATTCGTGTATCTTTACGAACTCCTTTAGCACCAATGTTACTTGCATGATCTTTTGATGGTGTTCTTCGACCAGTTAAACCCATTGCATTAAGCCTACGAATACTATCGTTTGATGGTGTGGCTGGAGTCGTTGGTAGATGAAGCATGCTTTTGCCTGCATAATCAATAAATAATCTTTGATAAATATCTACTACTATTTATTATAAACTATAAATGTCTAGTACTATTTATTAGGTTTTTTATATATATATATATATATATGTATATATAATTTATATATTAATATCATATATAACATTTTACCAGTGCTTTTTAAATTAGAAAGTCTATTATTCCCTGGATCACAGGAGGAACTTCTCATACGAGGTCTGGGAATATGAGATACATCAGAAGCAGAACAAGAAGATTTTGACTTTATTGATAACGTTTTTCTTGAATCATTTTTAATCAAACTCTTATCCCCTTTGTCGATCGTAGAAATTCTCACTGGATTTGAGGATGATCTGCGTCTAGTCGAATTATTTTGCATTTTCACGATGATAACTGTGTTATTTTTTTAAGAATTTACTACACATCTAACAGACAACTTTCAAATTTTTGTTATAGGAGGGAACGATATGAAGCATGGTAAATGAGTTTATATAGATACGTATCACTGCATTCAAAATATACCCTCACTCCTTCCTTTTATATCGTAAGGCGTATTTTCATGTACTGTTAATATAGAAGTTCAAAATGTGCTGAAATTTAAATTTTATTTATTTTGAATCTAACAAATTTATAATTCATCTTTATTCCAAAATTTAAATAAAACTATTAAAGTTTTAAAGAGGCCAGGAGAAAGACAGTGAAAGTATATATATTTTCATTGATAAATATATAAATTAAAAGTTTCCCTCCTTATTGAATAAGTATACCCAACATTATATTACCAATGGCTGGGTATTTTCCCAAAAAGCGGGATTTTTTGAATCAACTATCAAGGAATTTTTCAAGTATGAGATTGGAAGCACTGGTATATATACATAATTATATATACATATATATATATTGAGCATGATATTTTGTAAGTGACGTTACGGTGTAATAAACAATTATTAAAAATTAAAATACGTATTCAGGTGGGTCTGTTATCTTTTTCATTACAAATATTATAATTTTATTTATATAAAAATTATTCAGTTATCAAAGAAATGTATTGATTAAACATGGCACTCCCTTATTTTCCATTAATCATTTCCGGTAGTGGAATTCGTTTTTAGTACACGTCAAAGTAAAAAGCCCCACGTATAGATTATCATTGCTGCTTAATTAAATAATACAGTTTCTATCTTTGTCAGATAGTATATTATACTTATTCATTAAGAACTAAATAAAATACATTTAAACAGTAATATTAATAAGATTTAGTATACTGTGTTTCACGTGTAAGTAATATAAATGAAAATACGAATACTTATTAATATTATTTATTATTCTAATGATTTTTTTCTCAAATATATATTTTTTTTAGTATATGACTTATATGAATTTATTATTCAAGTTTTTAACATGTTTTCTCTATCAATTTAAGTAACAGATTTATAGACAAGTATTAAATTTATAAGAAATGTCACTTCAATTTAATTTTTTCTTTATTTTTCAGGAATATGAGATGGCAAAAATCGTAGCGTGTGCATTACTAATTTATTTAAGTTTAATTTGTAATATATTAAATGCTAACGAGCAACATGATAATGATATTAAAGATACAAATACAAGATCAACGTACCAAAGTCCAAAACCATCTGGAATTGCTTATTTAGCAGAACATTTTGACAATAGAGAAAAATTTGATACTGCATGGGTATTATCAGAAGCTAAAAAAGATAATATCGATGAAGATATCGCCAAATATGATGGTTCGTACTACTATTACTATATATAGTATCTATTATTTTTAATGATATATTCAAACATTAAAATCAATAAAATCAAATTATCATTAAAAGTTAAGTGAAATTAATAAGAATTGTTTTATAGGAATCTGGACTATTGAAGAGCCTAAAAGACCTATACAAGATGGTGACTTAGGTTTAGTATTGAAAAGCAAAGCTAGGCATGCAGCTATTTCTACTTTATTAAATACTCCTTTTCATTTCAATGATAAGCCATTAATTGTACAATATGAGGTTAATTTTCAAGATGGTCAGGAATGTGGTGGCGCATACCTTAAGTTATTAACGCTTGATCCCAAAAATACAGAATCAAACTTAAAAAATTTTCATGATAAAACTCCATATACTATTATGTTTGGACCTGATAAGTGCGGGAATGATCATAAGGTATATATAAAGATATTATAAAATATACACATATAAGATTTCCTTGTATCCATGCATTAATTTATAATTTCTCTCTTAATTACTTATTCCCATATAGTTACATTTTATTTTCTGCCATAAAAATCCTTTAAATGGTATAGTAGAAGAAAAGCATAGTAAGAAGCCAAAGGAGAGATTGGAGGATTTCTTTAAAGATAAACAACCACATTTATATACTTTAATAGTTCGTCCTAATAACACCTTTGAAATCAAAGTTGACAATAAAATTGTGAATACAGGATCGTTATTAGACGATTTCATTCCTCCTGTAAATCCACCATTAGAAATAGAAGATCCATATGATAAACAACCTGATGATTGGGACGACAGAGAAAAAATCTCAGATCCATCAGCAGTAAAACCTGATGATTGGGATGAAGATGCTCCAGCGCAAATAGTAGATGAAGAAGATGTTATGCCGGAAGGATGGTTAGAGGATGAGCCACCTATGATACCAAATACTGATTCTGTTAAGCCCGAAGATTGGGACAATGATATGGATGGAGAATGGGCACCTCCTGAAATACCAAATCCTAAATGCGCAAATGCTCCAGGTTGTGGTCCTTACAAGCAGAAAATGAAGAAGAATCCACGTTATAAAGGAAAATGGTTACCCCCGTTAATTAATAATCCTAATTACAGTGGAAAATGGAAACCTAAATTAATTCATAATCCTGATTATTTTAATGATGAACATCCATTCTTAATGTCATCTATTGTAAGTTTTGGAGATAAGATATTAGAATTAAATTATGTTCAATTAGAAAATCAGTTCTATAATTAAACTAAAAATTACAGTATGCTATCGGATTTGAACTTTGGTCTATGTCTTCTGATATTATTTTTGATAATATTCTTATTACTGACAATGAAGAAGTTGCAAGAAAATGGTCTGATGAAACATTTGAAGTAAGACGAGTTAAAATTGCTGAAGAAAGTGTAAGTAGTTTTATAATCAACGTTCTTTAATATTTTTAACGTATAATTCATTTTTCACATTTTATTTTTTAAATAATAGGTAAAATCAAAATTAGTTATTCTCGTAATTTTTGTTTTTCTATATATATTACGGTAATTTTCGGTAATAATATTTTTTCTTATGTAAAAACTGAAACTTATAATCTTTCTTTTATTTGAAATACACACATTATAACATATAGGAAACATTTTGGGGACGTATGATGCGTTCCATGAACTACAAACCTGGCTGGTGGGCTCTTTATTTTTGTTACTGTATGGTACCAATAACAATATATGTTTGGTATTTAATAAAACGTTCACGCGAGGTACTTAATTCACAAAACTTAAAATCTCTGCTTATATAATGTATTGAATTTTTGTAGTAACTTATGAGGCCACTAATTTTTGAAAATTTGAGCAAAACAATAGGATTATATTTGTTAAGTACATTTTATAATGCTTTTTATTTTTTGATGGCTTCAATAAGCTGTAAGTAGTTATTGTGTAAAAAAGAAAAAAAAAGAAAATGTATATTTGCAGAAATTATTATAGATCATTTTAACAATTTGTATAGTAATTTAACTATATATTTCTCGTTATATAATTATTCTTAAAATTTGTAAAGTACACCATCCATGATCACGTAATATTGTTTTTATGTTCATACAGCTAAATTTGTAAATGTATTCGCACAATTAATTTGCAGTATTTTATTACTGGTTATTTATAGTGGACTATATGGCGTCAAATAGCAACATTTACTACAGAACATCCTTGGATGTGGGCTGTATATATACTAGGTGCAGGCCTACCTATACTTCTATTAATTTATTGTTGCTGTTCTGGTAGTCAGGTATAAAACATATTTTGTTGTTGTTGACAAATTCTATATTTTTTTACTACTTCTCTTGATAAATTCTCAATAATTAATATTGTAATATATCACAGTATTCACATGGTATGTTCAGATTCTAAATTAATGTTCAACTACATTTGACCTATATTTAAATAATTATCCAAGCTAGATAAACTTATTGCTTGTAAAGTACGTATTTTCGTGCTATAAATTGCACCAGTAGTGCTATCATTATAAATAGTCTTGTATATTATAATATTATTAGAATACCAAGTGTTACATTCAAAATGTATTACAAAAAATCATTCCTATACTATTTGTAGGAAAAAAATGATGGAAAAGAAGAGGAAAAGCAAACTTTAGATATTAATAAAGAATTACTAAATAATGAAGAAGAAGAAGAAGAAGAAGAAGAAGAAGAAGAAGAAGCAGCTCAGCAAGAGGCAACTACAGAAGAAAACAAAGAAATTGAAAATACAAGTGAAACAGAGGAGATAATTGAATCTAAAATGGCAAGTATATACTTTCAATTTTATTTAAATAATCTATATGTCTATTTTATTTATTTGTAAAAACAACTTGATGAAATTATAAATAGACTATTCATAATTAATAATATTTTATCTCTCCTATAGGATAAATCTAGTGGTGATGATGGTCCAAGGCGAAGAAAACCAAATAAAGAATAATAAACATAAAAATAAATATAAGAAGAAATTTATTGTTAAAGTGTTCGTCATACTTTCACATTCCACATTATGCTTGCCATTGTGGATAGTAGTATTATCAATCACTAAATATGCGATGTTTTCATTAGCAATTAGTTCCTTGTTTAGAGATATGCTAAGGATGTGCTTCAATTTTAAGTATAGTTTATCATTACATAATAATTTAAAAAAAAATGTCCTTATGTACACATAAACAGTAAGTATATTTATAATATATTAAAAAACTCGACTTATGTGTGCATTTAAATATACATATGAGAGATTTTCATATATGTGTGTAATAAATATCACTTAGCAGAACGATCTTCTTACCTCCTAGTAATGCGAAAATGATTTAAAGTACGGAGGAAAGTTGGTCAAATGCGAAAGCTATGTTGACCAATGCGAAGAAATCTTTTTTTAAGATCTGCTAAAAAGATGAGCATATGGGTATTAAATACATTCGTTCCTCGATTTACATGGCACTGTTTATATACGTGATAAATAATCTCTCCATTTATGCGAAATTTTTATATACAGTTTCAATTTATAAAGAAGTACATTAATTTTATACATTACACTTATGTTGAATGTTTGTAGCGAAACACATTACTAGCACTCTAAAATAACATGGATTAAAAATTAATATAAAACAAAAACGTTGATTGTGTGTTTTTAATCACAATACTAACATTAATAACGAATGAAACTTATTTTCTTGAATTTTCATTTGTATTATTCTTGTGTGAAAATATGTGAAATTAACTATTTGTATAACTTATAAGTATTTTCTTTTTTTTTTTTCATACTAGAGTAGATTCTATTTATGCGGGATTGTTTTTTCGCGTAAAGAAATAACATGATATAAATAATTCGCGTAAATCGAAGAACGGACGTATTGTTGTGTATCGCTCAAGAGAATGTGTCTGGGAGGAATGCGGCTCAATAGTCGGTTAAAATAGCCGACTGTTGTCCTATTTTTATTTGAGATATATAACTCTATATCACACGTATTTTTTCCTATTGGCAGAAAGGATCCGATTTATTATTTCGATGTGTTGTAGCAAAGAAAAAGAACAGAATTAATCGAAAGAGAATACTGGATAGAATGATATAAGATTTGCCCTGTTCATGTCCCTATTAACCATAAAATATAAGTAAGTGTGCCCACCAATAAGTATGTAAATCCTACGATTATCACTAAAATCTTATTATGTAGATTTGGTGAGTATCAAAGGTGGGAGCAATTTGAGTGATGAACATCTCTTACCCCTTTGCCATCTCGCATCCATTCTACTCTGTGATAGACAATAGTATATGCAGGATAAGTTAGTAAAAATTATTATCTGCAACAACTCATTATCTATTGATCGAATTAAAAAATCTTGTAATAAATTACGTAGAATTTTAAGAAATGCATTGGATGAATTTAGTTCGTTAAATGGTCATCATATAAGTTGTTGTTAAATTCGTTCTACCATCGGTAACAATGTGATATTTAAAAAAAAAATGTTACATAATTCATTTAAATAATTTTATATGATAACTAATAGATATATATAACGAATTATTTGAAATAATAGTTTTTAATAACTCATCCTGTATATATGTAAGTTCTATTCGGGGAGAATGCGTTTAAATTTTGTTAGCTCGCGTACTGTGGCACATTTTCTAAAAAAGAACGTTGAGAAATTTATTAGATTTACTTTCCCCGGAAAAATTTCATCGAATATTGTCGCACGTGTATAAAGAAAAAGAATCTTTTTTATTTAAACCAGGTAGTAAAAAAAGTACCTCGTTAATATTTTATGTACACATGTGCAATCATTTCGCAGCGACGATTCCAATAATTGTACCCACGCATACCCATCTACATATGTCTATAAAACAGTACAAATGTTTGTACATATTATAAACCCTTTAAAAAATATCATTATTTACAATAAAGTTAACTTATTAATGGTATAGTCAAACTAAACTAAAATAAACGCTCCTATTATCATCATATTATTAATACATTTTATATTAAACATCAAAAAGGAACACATGTATATAACATGAGTTCTATATAACAAAAATATCAAAAGAGCTTACAAGAAGAAGAGATAAAAACTATTGAGACTTAAATTTCAATACTCTTAACAGAAACCGAGTACCACGCTGATCTTTATAGTAACAGAATAACAGAATATATCTTTAATTATTAATAATTAAATTCGTGTCTTTTTCTATATTACCTCCTTCTACCCTTACAACGTGGAGCTTTGAAAGATTAATGTATTAAGTATAATAAGAAGAATTAAGAAGAATGTATTAAATATATAATTAAAAAAAAGGACACATTTTCACAAATATCTAAAGCTATAATTGTTATAAAATTTCAAATAACAATGTATATGTCATATTTACTATGTATGTGTGCCTTCAGAAATGCATATTAATATAATATACAAAATACATATATATTTTAAAAAGTAGTCATAAAAATCAAAAAGAAAAATATCTCCAAGATTTGTTGTTCAATCCAACGATGATCACCTGTAACAAAAAGCAAAATATATTAATCATACAATCAAGCGATAAAATAGCCTAGCACATAAGTGGTCCAATTCATAGATGCATTTTTCCTTTGAATTCCCT